GTGGAGCCGGATGTGTTCTTTGAGCTCTACCTTCAATTGTAATGAAGCACTTTAAAAAAATAAAAAATAAGGCCGGGCGCTGGTGGCTCACACCTGTAATCCCAGCACTTTGGGAGGCCGAGGTGGGCGGATCATGAGGTCAGGAGTTCAAGCCTGACCAACACAGTGAAACCCCATCTCTACTAAAATTACAAAAAAAAAAAAAAATTAGCCAGGTGTGGTGGCAGGCACCTGTAATCCCAGCTTCTCAGGAGGCTGAGGCAGGAAAATCGCTTGAACCCGGGAGGCAGAGGTTGCAGTGAGCCGAGATCGCACCACTGCACTCCAGCCTGGGTGACAGAGCAAGACTGTCTCAGTAAACAAATAAATAAACAAATAAATAAATAGAGAGAGAGAGAGAGGAGAGAAAACTTCCAGGAATATTGTCCTGATGTCTAGTTCTGTAGTGAACATTAATACTGTTTGAATAGTAGTGGATGATTCCGAAACTAAGATCCATTTACAATTTTAGAGATAATTATATGATAACACATAGCTGTCAGTATTTATAAAACATCTTGTGATTTAGTTGCCATAACATCATAAAAGAGTGCTATAGCCTTGATACATTGGCTAGACTGTTTAAGAGGAAAGGAAATAAAGCTTACAGTAATTATGTAAGTTATTTCCTGAGTTAATTCCTCAAAAGGATATACTACACTTGATGGTCCTCTTTTCTACCAGGCTTCATCCAAAGTAATTTATTTGGAAACCACTTGCAAGGATAGGGCTGTGGGGCACCATTTTAATAACTGGATGCATAATTTGTGCCATCACATGCATATATCGTTTCATCAAGCACATGATTATGAAGTCAACTTTGACAGGACAGAATTGCACTGCAAGAGGAGAAGTGGATAAAGGCATGGAGTTAATCTACTTAGGCTTTCAGCACACTGGCTCTGCTTTATTGACATTTTACCCACACTAATAATGTTGGCATGTGTCTGACTTCTTCACTGTTGGCACAGCGCAGACATTCACACTGGGCATTAAACTTTTTAGTTGATAAAAGAAGATCCCACAATTGGAATCTCTGTAGCAGGTGTCCATGGTTTGACACTTGATTGTCTTAAGCAAGTATGTTCTTTGCAAGCAAAGCACATCTACAAGCTATATTACCTTTTGTTATACACAGAGATGCAGTTTCCTTTAATGTTACAATGGTAGAAAATAAGAAGTAGCTGAAGTATTGAAGCCAGGTTAAAATACACAACAATGTGTACTTATAAAGGACGGAATGAAACTAGAAATGTGAAGCCCAGTTAGGTGACAACATCCATCCATGCCTGTTTTTCTCCCCATCAACTCTTTCAGCAAAATGTGATGGTCGTGTTTGGCTGTATTTTCATTCTTCTCAACTCTTATATTCACATGAAATTAATGAACATTCCAATTCTGAATAATGTGAAGAGACCAGGGGAGTGGAAAACTGCTTAGCCACATAGACAAAGCCCATTTATGTTTGGGCTGTGAAACACTTATTTGAATTTTGATTTGTGGATATTTCTTCTTGGCACTCAGTTTATATTTAATTTTTGTTCCTGATGTGATTTGAAAGTGATTGGTAGCAATGGAATGGCTTTCAAAGGTGGACAGGAAAGGGTGGAAGGGAAGAAACGTAGGGTCTGCTAATCCAGCAGTCAAATCATTGACCCATGGGTGATTAAAAGTTGGCTGAGGTTGTGGAAACAAGACTACCCCTCATGTGATGGCAGCTTCAAGTCTCCTTTGTAGTTTTTGGATGTGAGGCAATGAGCCAAATGTTCTGTCTAAACTGTTTGGGAACTGCTTTTAAGTTCAGCACTCTTGGAGAGGTATTATGTGACAAGTTATTGCTTCAGTGCCCTCAAATGGCACCATGGCCTCAACGAATTAGAGCTTAAGCTGGAGCTGTGGAACTTAAGGAAGGAAGTGGTTCTAAACTGCGTTTCTGCCTCTAGCCATTTCTGTATCAACATATTCCCTTTAACAACATCTCTCTGTTAGAAAGGGCAGTTTGAAAAAGCTCCTCTTCCCCTCTCTTTGTTGTCTTTTTGCCCAACATACACATGTTGTGGGTTTTTAGTGAAGGATGCAATGGATGTAAGTTAAGTATATAATGACACAGCCATTTCTTCTTACCCAAGTCTAGTCTTAAGCCATAAACTTGTGAAATGAGCCGATTGTGGTTGTTCAGTGGATTGTAGGATCTCCATAAAGTGCGCCATCCTTTCTCTATTGAGGACCCATTCCAGTGGGAAAATATTCATGTAAAAAGCTACCATCTTCATCCTTGTCATTATGAGCCAAAGTTGCCAGATCCAACCTGGTTCCTCACTGAAGTGCCACACTCCTCTATTTCGAGAGGAAACCGTTATAGATCATATACAGATGTCCTAAAAAGAGAGAGAGAATAGGCTTCATGTCCAGGTAAAGTTTGAAAATCACTGCCTCCCAATTAACCCCGTTATGGAAATTGACAAAACATATTTGCGTATTCTAAAGACCTGAGATGTCCTCTATTAAAGAGTTCTATTCATCTTTGTTTGATTCAGCCTTTCCCAAATTTTTTGACCATGGGACACCTGAGAATACTGCCTAATAATTTTCATTTTTCTGTGTTTCAAGGCTTCAGGAACATATAGCAGGTGATTTTCCTGTTTATTGCTTTTCTCTAGGGAACATTGCAAAGTGCTAGTCATTTACCTATCACCGTCCAACATTGTGTTTCTGAACCCTTTAGCTTTAGAATCCTGCTGGCATTTTAGAAGGAGCCTCAGACACACTGACAAAATACATTTTTAAAAAATCAGAGTTCTAATATATTGTGATAAGAAAATTGAACTAGTTACTTTTATGTTTAGAAGGGCGCATTTTCTCTCAACGGGAAGAGGTACAGAGAAGGTCAAATTATACCCACCCATTTGTCTGGTAAACATGAGATTAAAGCAAAGACAGTTGATTTGTGTGTTTTGAATAACCATCAGACTTTAGTTACCATAACCTTTGTTACCATTTGTCCCCATCGAAGGAGAGAAATATCCCAGTAACTGGACATGATTACCCCAAAGAAAATTTTAGAGATATTTTTCCTCTCTGTTTGCCTCTCTCACTTGCAGTGAAATAATAGATGAACATAATTTTTATTTTTTTATTTTTTTCAGTGAAATAATACATGGACATAATTTTTTTTTTATTTTTTTCAGTGAAATAATAGATGAACATAATTTTTTAAAGTACTATAAAAAAAAGGACTTGCCCCATCTTCCACTTTCTACTATGTAGGTTTCATCTTTACAGAAAGTGTCTTCTGTGTCTTTGGGATATTTATTTGGGTAGTCAAGTCTACGTTATAGACCTGCATCAGCCATATGTTTGTTTGTTTGTTTGTCTGTTTGTTTATTTGAGACGGAGTCTCACTCTGTCACCCAGGCTGGAGTGCAGTAGTGTGATCTCGGCTCACTGCAACCTCTGCCTCCCGGGTTCAAGGGATTCTCCTGCCTCAGCCCCCTGAGTAGCTGGGACTACAGGTGCGCCACCACACCTGGCTAATTTTTGTATTTTTTAGTTGAGGCGGGGTTTCACCATGTTAGCCAGCCTGGTCTGGAACTCCTGACCTCAGGTGATCTGCCCACCTCGGCCTCTCAAAGTGCTAGGGTTATAGGCATGAGCCACCGCACCCACTTATTTCTTAATATGTTAATTTTATACATTATTAATGTCTCTTTATTCTAGGAAGGGAATCTGTTTGTTTTCTTTCCCTTCATACTTTATATCTTTCAGGATTCCATTGCAGGAAACAGAATAATTCTAGCTATTTCAAGCGGGAAGTGATTTTAAACTACAAATTCGAAGCTTTGGAAATCACTGGAAGGGCTGAAAGAGCAGGATGTAGGCTGGGATTTCAAGCATGACTCCTTGAACTGGATAAGATTAGTGAGCAGTCTTTTTACTGAAGCATAATTTACCTACAGTGTAAATTCAGTTTTTTATGTGAATAATTCAGTGAGTTTTGACAAATCTGTGTTGCTGTATAGCCACACGCCATTACTTTCAACATACAAAACAATTCTATCACCCTCAAAAATTCTCCATGACTCTTTTCCTCACTCCTCCCCAGCCCCTGGCAACCACTGATCTGTTTCTTTACTTACAATTTTGCCTTTTCTAGAAAATTGTATAAATTGAATCATGCAGTATGTAGTCTTTTCTGTCTGGCTTCTTTCACTTAGCATAATGTTTTTTAAAATTCATTTATGTCATGGTATGTATTAGTAGTTATTACTGGGTAGTTTGTGGTATGGATATACAGTCATCCATTTTCAATCTGTGATTGAATTCACAGATGCAGAATCTATAGATACAGAGGGCCGACTGTATCACAATTTACACATTTACCAGTTGATGGACACTTGAGTTGTTTACAGTTTGGGGGAATTATGAGCATTCATGTGAAGTTCTTCGTGTGAATATATGTCTTCATTTATCTTGTTTAAATAGGTAGGAGGGGATTGTTGAGTTGTATGGTGAGTGTGTGTGTAACTTTATAAGAACTGTCAAACTGTTTTCCAGAACCTCATATCATTTTGCACTCCCATCAGCAGTATAAGAGAGCCCCAGTTCCTCCACGTCTTCAGTACTCTACTGTCAGTCTTGTAGGTAGAGTCTTAACCTGGTTTTCCTGATCCCCAGTGGGTTCTCCCTTCCAGATTTGCTGTTACATAGCCAGCCCCAGTTCTGTTTCTCTGTGGTAAAACAGTGATTTATATATATGTATGTGTGTGTGTGTGTGTGTGTGTGTGTGTATATATATATATATATATATATCTGCAAATTGGTGACATCCAGGATGCAGACCAGCTCCAGTGCCCAGCTGAACTTGCTAATCGGTACAAGAAACAGTGTTGATCTTGGTCTTAACTAGACCCTCACTGGATTTGAAATGTTGCACATAGCAATGTTTTATGGTTCTCTTTCAGGCTATTTGATCATTCCATGGAAGGATTTAAAAACTGGGAGTTCATGACCATTCATTGCTGGGGGGAAAGAGCTGCTGGTGACTGGGTCCTTGAAGTTTATGATACTCCCTCTCAGCTAAGGAACTTTAAGACTCCAGGTGAGAACTCCCTGTCTATACATTGGTCTACTGTGTAGAAGAAAATGATGGAGTATATTTTGGCCAGAGTGTTTCACACTCACATATTAGCATCTTTTTTCTAGTGATTAATTTCATGTGTGCTTTGAATTACCTGCACGTTTTTCAGTTTTCAAGATTCATTTGAGAGGTAATAATTTAAGGATACGAAATAAAGAATATATATAGTATAGAACAAAACATAACAGCTTTTGATTGATGTTTCAGAAGACATGATCCACATCTCTAACCAGCTTCCCAGACTTCCTTTGTCTGTAAACAAGCCAACCTGTCCACTGGCAATGAGTTCAACTGCATGATTTCACAAGAAGAGACAGGCTTCCGTAGTTATCTATTTCTTTTTAGTTTTCCCTAAATTTACTTTTCAGTTTAGGCAAGACATTGAGCTCAGCCCATGCCAGCTAATCTGGGTACCACCAAAGAAAATGATGATGATATTCTTCCCTGAATGAGCCCAAGAGCCAAGGAAAAAGAAATGCTTCTTGACATGTAAAACAGAAATTATGATGTTAGCAAAGGTCTTTTCAGGTAGGCACAGTCTGTTTCTTCACACAGCCTATTGCCGTCTTCATGCTAACCTGTAAAGCTTGTTTATAATATAAAATAAGGGAAAGTATAAGGCAACATGGGGTGAGAGACTGTGTTGCCCATTACAGAGCCCTGCAGAGTGGCTCAGCAGTGAATGATCTGTTTGATAACTAACTAGCTTCCCACCCATCCATGAACGCATCTTCAGCCATCAGATAAAGTCCTCCTTCTCAATGCTCTGTCCAGTCCTATTTAAAAGAACCAGGCCTGGGGGGAAGTTTTAGGACTGACATCCAGTTCTAGCCCTCTCCAGATTACAGAATCAAGTAACCTAGACATTCTGTAACTGTAGGAGTGTGTACCATTCAGATACAGCTAGCTGCTCAGGGCAAAGGAGGCACACAGCAGAACACAGGGCTAAAAGGCACATTTGCCAGACTTTTGCCTGCCAATCTGAGAAAGTTACTCATTCTGAGAGATCCATTGTTGACTGTACATTTTGGCTGTCTCTTCCCTAGTTCTATAATGAGGTTCATCTTTGTTTGCCACAGTGGTCCCATAATCAGGGAGGTCAAAGCCAGAATGGTGGCCAGGTCACAATGAATCAGGATAAACGTTTCGTTAAAGAGTATCTGTGTCCAGCTCACTGCCAGAATGCAGCCTGAATATAGTGGTCGCCAAGTTTTTATCAAGCAAGCAAATGTTTGTCAACAAGGCAGGATTGATAGAGAAAACATGCAGATTATAGACCAGAGTTTCTAGACCCTTTCACCTCTTCATAATCTGCATAGTTCCCAGGACCTTCCTCTCTCCTTTCTTCCTCTTTGCAGCCCATGCTTATTGCCCTTGCCATGAGGATGCACAGGGTCATGGCACATAGGTGAAATGGAAGCATGGTGACTGGGCTGTGATCCATTAGCAGGCATCACTGCACGACTCTTATAGGACAAGAGACCCCGGAGAAATAAACACTGTCAAATGTGGCAGTTGTGTGCCAAGGAAGGTGCAGACAGAGAGAGTACGTTTTTGAGCATTTTAAACAGTTATAAAACTAACTAAACGTGAGTCTGTTCTTTATTACCACCAGACACCAGCAACTCCACTCTCCATGATAAGCCCAGGCTGCTCCTAAGGGCTACTAAGGGCATTGCATCTAAGGGTCAGGGACCATGAATATAAATCCCTCTGCCCTCAAGAAGTTCTGAGTCTATAGAGAGCTTACTGTGATTATGCGTGTTTAAAACTCCACAGTAGCTCAGGTAATCTAGAGTTACCTATTTCATAGCATTGGCATCTCCTTATGCTATTTAAATGTTCACATTTAACCCTAGCCACCTGCAGTCATTTTAGAAGTGTTGAGGTGTTCTTTTTACGCCAGACGAGAGATACCCTAATGCTATTACGGACCTGGAGACTTTAATAGAAACATATAGTCTTTGTGTATCTTTCCTTCAACCTTTCATTTCAGGATGAGTTACGCCTTCAGTAGTGGACTTTGAGTGGCCTGTTTATGGGCGTGTGTGTGTATGCGCATGTGTCTGTATCATTGTTTCTGTAGTATACAGTCCTATGATAGGTTTCTTCCTCTCTGATTAATAAGGGATTACATCAGTAAGCGAGTAGAATTTCAGTTGCATCTGTAGAATTTTCCAGCCCGATTAAATGGTAGACTCATCCCCAAATATAGAACTTCCTGGCTCCAAACTGAATTTATATTTGTTTATTGTTTCTTCCCATTTATTGTTACAATACATATTAAAAGTGTTTGAGGGTGTTGTTTTGATTTTTGGCACATTGAACCTATATATGCAGATTGCATTTATGTGTTAGCAAGATGGATTTTTCTCCTTCTGTATTTACAAAGCTATTTCATAATAACAGATTTCAATATTAATTGCAAAATCATCTATAAAATTTAGCAAACAGAAAAAGGGGTAGAGGAGAAAAAAAAATGATGGCCCAAATATGGCAGTTATTTGATGTGAATTGTAGTAGAAGTTCTAAGGAAATAAAATTACATAATAAGTGAAATATAAAGAGATGAATTACACAGGAAGGATATGCCTAGTGGGCTTATGATGTCCTTCAGAAATAACACAAAGGGAAATAATCAATTTTGAGACAGCACTCTTCAAAGCACTTAGAGGGTAAACTTTTGCATCCAAAATGATCTTAAATAAAATGAACTGAGTTCTAAGGTGACTGATGATTAGGATGACCTATAGTGTCCTTGTATTATATGCTTCATTTGTACACTTGAGAGATGCCATAAGGAAAATGGGTTCTCTTTTGCACTGCTACCTAAAGGCAATCAGATAGGTCATCAATTTCCAGCAGTCATTCACTTCTTACCACTCCCTAATGCATGCTACTTAGAATTCTGGGCCTAAATAATACCCTGATTGTGAAAAGCATGGTCATTAACAAATGAGTCCAAAGAAAAGCTGGCAGAGGGCAAACCATATATAAACTAATTGTACTGGTGCAATGTAAAAGTCAGAAAAAAATACATGCATCACAGAATGTTCATTTTTAAATGTAATGCTCCTAAACTCCTAGAAATGAATAGGAGACAATACTGTATATGGTTTAAACACACAGGAGTTGGACTCGGAGTATGTTTTAATACCAGTCTGTCCTCTTATTGCCTTTGAGGAAGTTACCAACCTCTGTGGCTCTGTTTCCTCCTCTATATATTGGGAATGTTAGTACCTACCTTAGAGTTGTTTTGAACATTGAATGGAATAAAACTTACAAACCACTTAGGCCGGTGCTTAGCATATAGTAAGCACTTAAAAACATCAAACATCGATTTGATGGTGATGGTAGATGCTAATAGATGAAGGAAGCTGACAGCTGAAATCCATCACTCTCTGAGCTAGCCCCAGACCCTAGCCCCTGACCTTGTCTGGATTCTATGCATTAAGCCAAGGTGAGAGGGGCTCTGAGGGGCATCCTGCCTTCCTACCAGCATATGCCTATGTTTGTAATGGTTTTGTCTTAATCACTCCTGCTTAGGGTTGATTCCTTTTGAGGTCAGTTTTACTAACTTTAATGAAATGGAGGCATGTTTCCTTTTTTTTTTTTCTTTTTACTTTTTGCGTTGAACACAATTTTATGAAGCTAAGAAATAAGTTAACAAGTAAGAACTAAATAAGTTAACAAATAAATAAGAACTAAAGCAACAAAAAATGCTCCTTGTGAGTGATCCAAACTCATAGAAGGTGAAACACTTGCCTCAGGTCTCAAGGCGTTCTTGACCAGAAAAATGCTGTTTTGGGCCAGGTGCGGTGGTTCACGCCTGTAATCCCAGCAGTTAGGGAGGCTAAGGCAGGTGGATCACCTGAGGTCAAGAGTTCGAGACTAGCCTGACCAACATGATGAAACCCTGTCTCTACTAAAAAATACAAAAATTAGCTGAGCGTGGTGGCGGCCACCTGTACTCCCAGCTACTTGGGAGGCTAAGGCAGGAGAATCACTTGAACCAGGGAGTCAGAGGTTGCAGTGAGCCTGGATCATGCCATTGCACTCCAGTCTGGGTGACAGAGCAAGATCAAAAAAAAAAAAAAAAGAAAAAGAAAATGCTGTTTTGCACATTAACCCAGAGAACATTCTGCAATGATGGAAATGCTGTCCAGTAGGGTGGCCACTAGCCACATACAGCTCTTGAGCACTGTATGGTTAGTGTCATGGAGAAGCTGAATCTTAAAATTTTTTTAATTTTAGTTCATTTAAGTTTAAATAATCAAATGTGTAATGGCTATCACATTGGACAGCACAGGTCTATAGGATACTATAATTGGTGATGTATTCTTAATATTGAATGAATGATACCAGGAATTAGGGAGAACAAAGAGTTGTTCTACTTATTAACAAGTCAGATAATGCCAAGAAAAAAACATTTTTTTTTCTGAGATGGAGTCTTGCCCAGTCCCCCAGGCTGAAGTGCAGTGGTGCGATTTCCACTCACTGCAACCTCCACCTCCCGGGTTCAAGCTATTCTCCTGCCTCAGCCTCCCAAGTAGCTGGGACTACAGGCACATGCCACTGCGCCCTGCTAATTATTTTTGTATTTTTAGTAGAGACGAAGTTTCACCGTATTAGCCAGGATGGTCTCAATCTCCTGACCTCGTGATCTACCCGTCTCGGCCTCCCAAAGTGCTGGGATTACAGGCGTGAGCCACCGCTCCCGGCCATATAAGACTTTTATACCTAGAAAAACAAAGCCTTCTATTAAGTTCTGGGATTCTCTTAAATATTTGTAATTTGAAATTCAGCCCTTGATCCAGTAATCTGAAGTTTGTTTCTCAGTCTTCCTATAAATGCTGATTAAATCAAGGCCTCTCCTATAGTACGTGCTCAGTCCATGTGTGGTATGTGAATTATTAAATAGTTAATTCTGCAAATGGTGAGAAATATGCATTTCTAGCTCTGCGTTTGACATAGTGATTCATATCCATCTGCTTCCTACAGTTCTGTTGCTTTTTCTTGAGTGAGAAGGACTTAAAGATGTTACAAAGCTAAAGAGGGAAGATTTGGTCATGCTGTTATTTCATTATTATTTCTCAAGGTAAATTGAAAGAATGGTCTTTGGTCCTCTATGGCACCTCCGTGCAGCCATATTCACCAACCAATGAGTTTCCTAAAGTGGAACGGTTCCGCTATAGCCGAGTTGAAGACCCCACAGACGACTATGGCACAGAGGATTATGCAGGTGAGCTGGCTTCCAGTGGGACACAGCCTAAAGAGAGAAAGCTCATGTGTCATCCCACCACGGGCGGGGGGAGTGGAGTGGAGTGGAGTGGAGTGGGAGTGGGCATGGAATGGGAATGGAATGGAATGGAATGGAATGATAGAACAGAGCAATATACTACCCATATTCTGACATATTTTCTTCCATCTTATTTTTATCCCCTTAATATCTGTATGTGTGTATATATCAGTGCACTTATATATTCAAATATCCATATGTGTTATCTACAAAGCTGATAGTCCATACTGTGATTGTACTGTAATATATAGTTAATCCATAATCTGGGACACATACTTCGCTTACAGAGTTTTACACTATTTTAAACACGGGTTGGATAAACATCATTATTTATCAGTCTTTGTCTATATCTTCATTATTTCTTTAGAATAGAGTTCTGTTTTGAGACTCACTGCATCAAAGAGGATAATCAGCTTTAGGGCTTGGAAACATTTTGTCACTTGCTATCCAGACAGGATGTACCAGTCTACACTGTGACCAGCTATGTGATTGTTTATTACACTCATTCCTGCCAACAGAAAAAAATAGAAAAAGAAAGTAAAAAAAGAAAGAGGTGAACGTTTTAAAAATGTTATAGCTTTGATTGCCTGTAATTCTGAACATTTTTTTCCTCTGTAGTTCTCTGAATTAAATACAGCTGTCTTTTACCCATTTTTCTATTCAAAGTGCAGTAATCCTCTTATTTCTTTGTGAACACTCTGTATGTTATTGTCTCTCACATTGTTTCATATTTGCTGAAAACATATTCTCACTTATCACTGAGAATGTAAGTTTTGTTTTGTGTTGTTTTGACAAAAAACTATTAGAGGCTGGAGTTTATGGTCTCAAATATAACACTGATTTTTTGCAGACGTTTCATCCTTTAATGTCTACTGAATATTCACGTGCTTTGTTTGGTAATCTCTTGTTTTTTACATTTGGCCATTAATTCATCTGGAACTCATTTTGGTTTATGACATATAGTATCAATTGAAGCTCTGTCTTTAGTTATTTTCCAAACAGACTAACATCATTGGCTAACTATCCCTTCTTTTTTTATTAGTTTAGGATGCTTCCTTTATAACAATATAGTAAGATCTTATACCAGCATCTTTTCTGGTTCCACCTTTTCTGATTCATCAATCTAATAATTCTCAAACCAATACCACCCACACTGTTTTGTTTTCATTTCATGATGTATTTTTATATTTGTAGAACATCTGCTTCCCATTTCCATAGCAATTATTGCCCTATTATTCTTCCAGATGAATTTTAGAATGATTTTTCAGTCTCCCTTTAAAAGTCTCATTGGAATTTAATTTGAATTTATATGCAATCTTGTGGGAATAATTGTTTTTACAACATACAATCTTTCCATTTAAAACATAGATCATGTCCCATTTTACTGAAATCTTTTATGTCGTTTTCTTCTTGTTAGTGTTACACCTACGTATTTTGGGCCTTGTTGCTCTTATAGTGGAAAATATTCCTTGCTTTCTAACTAGTATATGCTGGTGTGTAGGAAATCCATTGGCTGTATTTATTTTATATATGGCCACTTTGCTTAACTCTCTCATTAATTTATATAGTTTAGAGTTGATTTTCTGGGATGGTTTAGGTACTACAGCCTTAGCATCTGCAAATTGGTTTTGTTGTCCTTCTCATCATTATTTCTGACTACTGTCTTGTTGCATTGGCTAGCACTCCTAGGAGCATTCAATCCTTCTGAGATATGACATATAACACATAATGGACAAAGCTTCTTCTAATGAAGAACTATTTATAGGCCCAGCACGGTGGCTCATGCGTGTAATCCCAGCATTTTGGGAGGCCAAGGGGAGTGGATTGCCTGAGCTCAGGAGTTTGAGATGAGCCTGGGCAACATGGTGAAACCCCATCTCTACTAAAGATACAAAAACAAATTAGCCGGGTGTGGTGGTGCGCACCTGTAATCCCAGCTACTGGAGAGGCTGAGGCACAAGAATCACTTGAACTCAGGAGGCGGAGGTTGTAGTGAGCCGGGATCAGGCCACTTCACTCCAGCCTGGGCAACAGAGCAAGACTCAGTCTCAAAAAATAAAAAGAACTATAAATACAAGTTTAATGTATCTTTAGATGAGAAATATTTTTTCTTGCAGTTCTGAGATTTTCCTTTAAATACTGAAAATAAAATTACTTCATTAACCACCTGAACAGAGTATCTTAAATACACATGTAGTTACTTTTATTCTAAACAGATAGCATCCTAGAATCAATAAACATGCTTGAAATTAAGACCAATCGAGCTAATCAGAGCTGGATTGTATTAGATTTTGTGATGTTTTGCTTTGAGCCTATAGCATTACTATTTATATTTTAACTAGCGAACTATTTTGTCTTCTCGGATAGGAGAAAGTATATCCAAAATAACATAAATAGAGTGTAATAGTAAGCTGTTACTCTTTATTCATATTTTGGTAATGTTTCGAATTCAAATTTCGGAATGTTGAGTTCAGAACAGTTATACATCTTTGTGGTTTTTCTGATTATATCTCTAAAACATCAACATTGGCACTTGTGAGAGAACCAAGACAATTATTGCATTATTATCCTGCAACCTACAATGCTAAACTGCATTGTAGGGACAGTTTAAGATGATAAAGAAACAACATAGTATGTGAACTTGCCATACAGTGAGAGCCCTTTTGGCAAATATTAAGAATAAATGTTTGGGATTTTTTTTTTTTTTTAATTCTAGAAGTCATCTGGTGAAAATTTAGGGCCACCCATGATTCCTTTCCTTTGGAGCTGCAATTTTCACCTTCATTTAGAAGTCAGCCAGATTAGAGACACAGATGGCGTTATCATAACCAGATTCCCATACTGTGTCATTGGATCCCAGGGACTGTGAGATCACAGCTGGCTGAACTTTAGTCCAAAGGCAGCAGAGACACCACTCCCCTGGTGTACGATGGCAGATGGCTAAAATGTCCCAAGTTGCAGTAGCTATGGAATTTAGAGATCAATTTGAAGCTTTGGGGAAAATAGAAATAAGCAGTGCTGTCAAATGACTCTTGCAGTTAATAAGAAGTATATTCAAGTCTGCAGCATTTTGAAATGACTTATTTCCATTCAGATGGAGAAGTCATCCCTAGTACATGGTTTGCTACCTCTAAGCAGGAAATTTTTACCTAGGTATCAGGACCTATGTTGACCCCTCTCCTCACCATGTGATACTGGGCAAGCCACTGAAATTCTTGGAAAATCAGTTTCCTCATCAGTAAAATGAGGGTATTTGACTACCAGATTTTTCTCTAAGTCATTCCACCCGAGATCTAACATTTTATGTTTCTGTGATTCAGTAATTGTGAAACATAGTCCCATAATGACTCAAAGAAACCAAGGTATAACAGTAAGTCCTTTGGGTTAAAATAAGTAGATTTTCTACTACCCTTGATTTACTATTTGTACATTTCATTCAATATATTTATTGCTAGTTAAAATCATATGACTTTTCAGTGGGAAAGAGTTTGCAGATTATGAGACCAAATGTTCCAGAATATGGCGAACAAAGAAGAGAAGAATTAAAAACTTCTAAACTAGCCCATGTCATTAGAAAGTTTTTCATCAATCACAAAAGTGCTCCATCTTTCTGACATTTTTTTTTTCTTACTGTGCATTCTCTCCAGTTCTATACCAAAGAATAAGTAGTAAGAGAGATTGGGAACTTTCATCTCAGGTCTGGAATCCTTTAAACTTGCTTGCATTTTTTTAAATTTATATATCATCATTTTCTTTTGTCGAATTGCCCATTGGCCTTTGTATAGGAAGCAATTTTAAATCTATTATCTGTGTTTGAGACTGGATGCTGATAAGCTTGTGCCAGGTGCCATAATGGTGTTTCTTACCGGCCACAGTATTTGAGAGGTATTCAGTAGCTTTAATGATCTTAAATGAGACAGGTCATTTGGTCCAGGCATTAAATAATAACTCTTTTCTTTTTTGTCAACAACTTCTCTCTTTTCTACAAATCCAATCTTTTTATTATTACACATAATTAATTGCAGTTGGTTTTTTTCCAGTTGCTACAGTTCATTTGAATTCTAAAATATTTATCTACCACGAGGCAGCCATATGTGCTTTGAAGACCAGGCCATGACTAGAATTTACATTCTTCATACCTAGGCAATTGAAATTGCCTAAGAATCAAAAGTCGAAAAAAGGCAAGAGCTCATCTCTGGACCTAAAGCCACATTGACAATTATTCCTCTGTCTTAAAGAAACTCTCTGCATAAGAAAAAAAAAAAAAAAAAGACTTATTTTATACCAAATTCAAGGTAAAGCTTACCTGCTCTAAAATCATTTTTCCAAGTATTGTTCTAATGTCTTTTGGAAAGGTCCCTGCGACCCTGAGTGCAGTGAGGTTGGCTGTGACGGGCCAGGACCAGACCACTGCAATGACTGTTTGCACTACTACTACAAGCTGAAAAACAATACCAGGTAAGAGAGGGGCCAAGTCACATCCCCACAGCATGTGCCACTCCCACAGGCATCTTAGGAGTCCCTGCAAGGCTAATACCATGGGGTGTGTGCAGGCCACTGGCATCTTCCACTATTCTCCCACCAGGACCTAAGCATAGAAAAGAGGCTGCTGTGCAGGCCGACTGCCTCCCTGTGTTATTCAGAATGATGAAAACTATATTAAGTTACAAAACGCAAAATGTGCGTGTATGCTGTGAAACTGTAATGTCTTCTCTCACATTTGGAGGATGGTGGAGTGACCAGCTAAGCACCTGCCCCTCCAGACCTTTTTCTTTTTAATTGACAAGTAAAAATTGCATGTATTTATAATGCACAACTGATGTTATATATGTGTATGTGTGTATGTATGTATATGTATGTGTGTATACATACACACATATACACATACATACATTTTGGAACAGTTAAATCAAGCTATTTAACATATGCATTAGCTCACATACTTATCTTTTTTTGTGGCCAGAACACTTAAACACTACTCTCGTGACAGTTTTCAAGTACACAATGAACTGTTATTAACTCTAGTCACCATGACAGATTTCTTGAACTTATTCCTCCCATCTCACACAAGTTTTGTGTCCTTTCCACCCCACTGATATTCGATTTCATGGCTTCACAAAGATGCCAATGCACAGGCCAAACTGATGCTTTTCCACATTCCCCAGCACATAGGCCATCAGTGTGGCAAAGGGGTTGGTCCTGCTTGATCTCACTCTTCTGCCGTGGGCACTAAGGTGGACCCTGTGCCTCTGAGCCCCTGGTGTCTGCTTGAGCTGTGCAGATACGTTTCCTGGGCAGGGCCAAAGAATGGAGACTGCCCCAATCAGAGTTCATCCTGACCTCCCGTTGTCTCCCACAGCCTCACCCACCTTCTCCCTCCTGCTTCAGGCGAAAACTCACTAAGCGGAGCTGCCTCATGGTTCCTCCATACTCCAGTCCCCCAGACAGACCCAGACATGTTAAGAATTCCTGTTGTAAGTCTGCCGGAATTTAAATTCCTTAAGAGAAAGGAGGACTTTGACTATCTCTCAGCCTCTATTATCTCCTGCACTTAGCAAAATGCCTAACATTTAATTGGTGCTCAGTAAATATTTGTTGAATGGAGAAATAAAACTCTGTCCTTCCATTATGGGCAAACCAGAAAGTTTTTTTTTTTTTTAAGTGTTCTCATACACAACATAAATTTAAATATATTTATATTAATTTAGACAACAGCATACAACCACCACCGCCACTCACATATGCACATACAGAATCCATATGACAAACAACACATGAAAATAGAAGTCACACCTTATTAAAGGGACCTTTTTGAATGAAGTCGTGGTTCCCACATAGTTTTCCTCTGATTCACCCCCATAACCTTCCTCTCTGTAACCATCATCCTTTTTCGAGGGCTAGGTGTAAACCAGGAAATGGTTTGCCAAGTCTTGGTAGACTTGGTGTTGGGTAACTGCATGGCTGCTTCAGCACACTGTGCAGGAGGAAGTTTAACAATCAATCTGGCTCTCTGGATGTGGTGTTGGCATCCTGGTTTAAAAGTGATTTGGAGGCTGAGCTCAGCCATTTGCTCAGCACCTGCAAGAGAATGCTGAGGACTGCTTCGCTCGTGACGCTGCCTTCTTTCTCATTGTTTCACAATGCAGGATCTGTGTCTCCAGCTGCCCCCCTGGCCACTACCACGCCGACAAGAAGCGCTGCAGGAAGTGTGCTCCCAACTGTGAGTCCTGCTTCGGGAGCCATGGTGAGCAGTGCCTGTCCTGCAAATATGGATACTTTCTGAATGAAGAAACCAACAGCTGTGTTACTCACTGCCCTGATGGGTCATATCAGGATACCAGTAAGCTCACTTCAAATATTTGGGTTTTAGAGAAGAAATGTGGGGTTTTCATGTGAGTGACCTCAGGAAGTAGTCCTCTTTGTGAAATCTGGAATTGTGCTTCATATCAAACAGGATCTAGTTCATTGATTTTAAGCAAACCCTTTAGAAGCTTTATGTAAAAATGCTTGTAACTTTATCAGGGTATCCTCAAGCCCACCCCCCGATTCAGTGATTTGCTGGGAATATTCACAAGGCTTGGGATATAGTCGTGCTCATGAACTCATAGATAGGAGATATTACAGCAAAAAAATCATCAACAGGAAAAGGCATATGGGACAAGGTTCAGCCACACAGGACGTGTTCAGTTCCCCATGCAACCATCTGTGACAACATGCATGAAATGTTGTCTACCAGGGAACCTCATTAGAGACTCGGGGCCCAGGGTTGTCACTGGGGGCTGGTCAAACTTGACACGTACCAAAATTCCAGACTCTTCAAAGGAAAACAGGTGTTCCCCATAAACCATATTATTTGTACAAACAGTTTAGACAAAGTGAGCCACTCTTTTCAGGGTAGTGGGAACCCTCCCAAAATTCCAGTTCCCAGACGTGCCAGCCATGGACCAACCTTACAAGCAGATTTGCAAAGGACAACATTCAGGCCTGCTGTTTTCCGCACACTGACCAAATAGACACCGGGCCTGTATGATATCAAAATCTACTTTTTAAAACGTTCAAAAAATATGACTGTCTTTTAAGAGTAGAATGAACATGTGTCAATGACTTATTGAACCCACTAATAAGGGAACTTGCAAGGTGACGAACAGGGCGGAAAGATGATCAGGTACTGTAGTCCACCAGGAAAGGCAAAATGGAAATCCTTTTGCTAAGTTAGAAACAAAATGGAATCATTTAATAATTTTCTACATGGCCATACAAGTAGAATTTGGGGAAGTGTTTTTTTCTTTTTTCTCTAATGAATAGAAGTAATTTGCAACCTTACCAAACAAAAATCTGTGCATTAACACAGAGTTTGGGCCATAATCAGCCATCATTAGCAAACAGACGAAGGTATATTGCCCTAGAGAATTAAATAATCTTAAGGTAGACCTTTTGGACAGTGTTCCAGTGTGGCTCTGAAAAGGACTGCAGTTACCTTTTACTTTATTTCTGAGTTCTGGATAATTTCTCTTAACAAGAACGTCATACCATGGTATATGATGGCACTGAAATTTCATGTTTCTGCACAACCTAAGGAAGAAAAAAGAAAACTCAAGTTTAAAGGAACAAGAGGTATTTAAAATAAAATCAGACAAGAAATCTGAAGTGAATACTCTTGCTTCTTAAGAAGTGAAATTCTCTCTGGTTTCAAAGAGGAGCATTTCTCTGTGAGGCAGACAGGATCTCTCAACTTACCCTTTAGGGCAGTGGGTAGGGACTCTGCCTTTCTTGCTTGCCCCAAAATTTAGAACATGAACTTTGACTTGAGGGAGAAAAGAGAAATTGGGAGAGAGAAGGGGGCATAAAGAATCCACAGAAATATGCAGTATTCCTTGTGGGGAAAAAAAGTCAAAATTCTATCAAGTAGGTTGAGCCTTGGAAAAGAAATTTGATTCTGGAATATTATATGACAGAACCAAAGTAATTGAGAGTCAGTTGTTTCCAGAGCCTAGAAGGTAGATAATTAAGGTGTTCAAACTATGACTTCAGCTACCACAAAGTGTTGATACAAGTGGTTTGTATATCTCTCTCTATGTAATTGCCTTATGTTATAGTTTTCTTCTCTAATGAGTCCATTTATGTACAACATAATGATCACATATGATCATCAGTAGTAGTAATTACTGCCAACACATTTACAGTGCTTAATAGTTCATATCGTTCCCTTGAATAATTAATTTTATTTAACTTCTCAAGACAACCAGAGAGGTGGGTAGCATTATAATCTCCATTTAATGAGTGAGAGAACAGAGACCCTGAACTTGCCCACTGGAGTTGCTAAAAGCAGAATGCAAATCTAGGTCATCTGAGTTCAGATTCTATGCATGTTCAGTATTCTCAGTGAGACAGTGAGAGAGACCATGTGATGACTACTGTTAAGATTGTAAGGGGCTTCGTATTTCATGCTCAGAGGCTCAGACTTGATCCAGCAGGTCCTTGCAGGGATCCACTAAGTTGTGTTTCTCTATGGAACCCTGAAGAACACCAACATTTAAAAAGCAGATGGAAGCTCACGAAGAAACTTCATTCAGTTCTACACATTCACATGGCTATAATCCACTTGCATATCAGAGCAGGTACCAAGACTTTAGCAAAATTTTGTCTAAGGTAGAAGTCCTTCCTTAATATGCCAAATGTTTTCCTCCACAGAACCACCATAAATTTGCCAACTTTTTTCAATATGGACCTGGTAGTAACTAGGAAGGCAAGTATTTACAGTATACTTGTTCAAATGATGCATTTCTATTCTCCAGAATATAGATATTATCTGAATTATAATAACATTTATACCAATTCCATGGCTGCTGTAAAGTGCAAGACACTAAAATAGTGTTTAAAATAAACAATGTAAGAAATAAGCAGTCCTTACCTTGCAGTCTTAAATGTAGATTCCCTTCTCTAGTTCAGCTCCACTGACCAGCCCTAAAAGTTATGAGCATGAGGGTCTACATTCCCATTCCTCCGTCTCAGGCATTGCCTTTCAATCCTTATAAAGTGATGTTGTTCCAGCTTCGTGAGTGGGCTTTGCACTGTTGCAAGTTAAGAAACCCTGCTGGGGAGAGAGACTAGGAAGAAAAAGAAGAAAAAAAAAAGGCCTATAAACTGTTCAACTGAGAATTAGCTAGGCTATCATTTTCTTGTCTGCAAAATGGCAGAGAAGTGTAAGGTGTTTTCCAGTGTTACGGTTCCTGTCTGTACTTGGTTTGCTGAGAAATGATAACAAACAGTGATTCTATGGCTTTTCCTGTAATTTTCTAGTCAAGGCCATAGGTACTATAGCATACATTAGCCAGCATTAGAACATCTCTGATGCTTTTATGGAATCCAATTGACCAACTGATTTATAACTTTCTCTTTTTTTTTAACAGAAAAAAATCTTTGCCGGAAATGCAGTGAAAACTGCAAGACATGTACTGAATTCCATAACTGTACAGAATGTAGGGATGGGTTAAGGTAAGAGAGTGAAGGATTTTATTAAGTAACACAGCCCAAAGAGCTTCTCAATGTAAATAAAATGAAAAAATGCTAAACAAATAGCCCTCTTACGATCTACCCTTGGTTTGACTCCTATTCAAGCACTTGATTGCTATTTGCATTATCTCTACTATTATATGTGAAAAATGGGATGCTGTGTTGGCTAAAGAAGGGTTATATCCAAACAAATTCTCTTTAGAAAAGATGGCTCAGATATAAGTCAATAAAAATGGCCATTTGAGAGGCATTCTTTGTGCTTTTTAACCTGCATTGTGCCAGTCAAGGATTACTGTGCAGGTAATACCAATGAATTATATTTAATCCCCCTGATTCATTCCTTGGATGGTCGGAAATTATTCCCTTATCTTTATTATTTCTCTCCACATACCCAATCATTCTCTTATCTTAAGTACCTCAGGCTTGGTTCCATTATGCTATGGTATGCACATAGATTTAACACCAGGAGATGTTTTCCTTGAACGGATGACTTGCTCATTGCTAAAGCTCAATAGTTGGTCTACTCTCTAAGAGAACAATGTACAGCTCAAATTAACTAGGTAGCCTCTTGATCTCAGTAGGGAAGGTCAGACCATTCTGCATTTAGTGAGGAGTTGGACTGGGGCTGTACGTGGAATTAGAACTCTGCTGCACTGGATTTCTTTTAGGTATTGATCGTATCTTTATTTCCACCTGTGATTGGAGGCAAACTAGGCAGGGTCCAGGCAGTTTCCAGGTAGGTACATTCTTCACCATTAACCAGTATTGGAGCATCAGTTTCACTTAGATTGATCAATTATCTATGGCTTTATTTCTCCCCCCGCCCCCCCCGCTCCCATAAATGCATTCAGTATTAGCTTACTTGGCAATTTTCATCTCGAGACTTCAGTACTGAGAAAGAATTAGCCACCTAATTCTTCTTGGAGAAGGAGCAAAGCAGTATAATAAAAAGAAAGTAGATGTGGACTCACATCCTCCTCTGCTACTTATTAACTGTGTGACTTTGGGCAAGTCACTTGACTACTCCGAGCCTTCATTTTCTCCTCTATAAAATGATGATAATAACCCCTGTTTTGCTGGATTATGATAAAGGTTAACTCTGATAACAGTTACAAAATACCTTTTGTAGCACCTGGCCCATGCTTGGTTCATGAGAAATAAAAGATGATTTAAATTATTTTATTTCTTAGGGAACATTATATAGGGTATGTTAAACCAGTGTATGCCAATAGAAATTTGAGAGCCATATATGTAATTATAAATATGCCAGTAACCACATTAAGAGAAGTAAAAAGATACAGGGGAAATTCGAGTTTCATCAAATATTTTATTTCATCTAATATATTATCATTTCAACAATTGAAAAACTATTATCAGATGTTTTTCATTCTTTTTCATTGTTTTACTGTCTTCAAAATCTGATGTATGTTTTACCCTTAAAACACATCTGAGTTCAGACAAAATTGTTTTCATGAGAAATATTTGATCTTTATTTAGGTTTTGTAGTTGAAAAAGAAAAGTTTACGTAGCCAAGTTGTTCCAGACTTACCCAAATTTTTGCCAATAATGGAATCAAGTGCCAGTTTTTCACATTTAGACTTAGTTAAATAAAATTTAAAATTCTGTTGCTTAGCCATACTATAGCCACCTTTCAAGGTCTCAGTAGCCATGTGTGCCAGATTATGTTGTACAGCACAGGTCTAACCTGGCCAGTTTATCACAGAGAGAACAGAGGCGTTCACAATCCCAGGTGCATTAGCCTCGCAGTACCTGTATTTTGGAAGCAGCAGCAAACTTCAGGGTTACACGTCCCCCTTACCTCATTCCTTCTCCACATAGTGCAACCCCTGTGTCCTGCTGAACAGATGCCAGCCTCACAAGGAAGTGCTATCCTGTATTAGAAAAACTAGGCAGCTTTTTAACTTTGATAAGTGTTTCAGTGGTCCTTATTTCCTCTCAAATAGATCCATTGAAGGCAATATCCTTTTTTCTAGTGCTACAGAAAGGGAAAGGGATTTTCTTTTGGCTTTTTAAATGAGAGCTCAGTCTCTCTCTCAGGCCAGTGAGATCTATGAATGAAGTCCACTTTCAGTTATGCTGCCCTTAGTCTCCTTGCATTTTTCTAAGGGCTTCCAGGGTTGACCATTTTGCCTCAAGAGACTTGTAAATTTTTAAATAATGGTGAAGAACAAACAGGAAAAAAAAAAATCAATGCACAAAATCCAGGAAGGAAATAAATTAAAATGCTAATGGGGACTGTTCAGGTTTCTTTTTACTTCAACTTTGTTTTTGTACTTTCCAAATTTTTTTTAAGAGCATAGGGAAAAATAAATTTTAATTTTTAAAATAAGCATTATCCACATACAAAGCAGTCAATTAAGATGTCGATTGGAGCAATATAAAGAGTTTAAAACAATGGAAACCATTTAACCCTGTTTAGATACTGATCTTCTAGTTTCATTGATTTGGTAGCATAGGATTACATTTTCTCACTATGTTTCAAATCACACTAGTTATTCAGTGAGTAATTTTTTATATTAACTTGTAATTTTTTTTTTTAAGAGACAGAGTCTTGCTCTGACAGCCAAGCTAGAGTACAGTGGCACGATCATAGCTCACTCAAACTCCTGGGCTCAGGCAATCCTCTGGCCTCAGCCTCCCGAGTAGCTGGGACTGCAGGCAGGTACCAGCATGCCTGGCAATTTTTTTTTAAGCTTTGTAGAGATACGGTCTGACTGTGTTGCCCAGGCTGGTCTCAAACTCCCAGCCCCAAGTGATCCACCCACCTTAGCCTCTCAAAGTGCTGGGATTACAGGTGAGAGCCACCATGCCCAGCCAAATATAGTAACAATTTTTTATTTGTTTTCAATTTTAAGAATCAACCTGTAGACTGTGAAAAAATATAATCGCTAACAGAAATTAGAAGGGAGAGAAAAATATGCATTTCTCATTTGACATTCTGACAACTCATTAGATACTATCTCATATTGCTAGATGAATAGAAATTTAAGTAGATTACTATAGTTAATTCCCAGAAACACTAAATAATAATATAACAAAAGTCAAGATGATTAGGGAAATAGCAGTACAGTTTTGATAAATTTTTCATTAGAGTGTTTAAAATGAATAAACCAAGAAATAGAGGCAAAAGTATTTTAAATCTTGTTGTTTTGATGAGAACCCATGGAAGACTGAAATCAGAAACACAATCAGAATGGCTACTCAGAGAGTTTGAGCTGTGGATTGGACAGGATGGTCGTACACTTTTGCTCAGTCGTAATTCATTTTACCATGTGTCCCTACTGCATTTATAATCATGAAATAACTCTTTAATTTATTATATAGTAAGTCTGGATATTAAGAAGTTGTTGGGCATGTTGCTAGACAATGTGATTCTTTTGTCAATCAAATACTTTTTAAAACCTCTGGGTTGTAAGATGTTGCACAAAGTAGGAGGGTGCCCATCAGTCTAACAAATTAAGGAGAATGTCCCCAAGGCCTAGCAGCATGTGTGTATGCTATGGACATCATTGTAGGCACAGAGAAACGTTATAAGCATTGAGAGGAGGGAAAAAAAAAAAAAAAGGGTACACGGGCTACTTCCCCTGCTTTGAAGCTTTGCCAAGTCCACTAGCCTCTGAGGGAAACTGTATCTGTTACATATGGAGTTTGGGGAGTCATTACGTTTTGGCCTGATCACAACAGTCTGTTTGAAGCTCCCTTTATACTTCTTCCAGCCTGCAGGGATCCCGGTGTTCTGTCTCCTGTGAAGACGGACGGTACTTCAATGGCCAGGACTGCCAGCCCTGCCACCGCTTCTGCGCCACTTGTGCTGGTACCTTCCCCTAGTTCTTTTGTTTATTCTCCCGGTTCTGGTTTTGTTTTTCTTTCTGGTTTGAGCCGTCACTCATGCAACCCACTTGCTACTTTTAAAGGAATGCTGGAGAAGTATATTTCTCTTTTGATAATTGTGTGCGTATTCCCATTGAAAGTCAAGCAGTCATCGGCATCCTATCCTCACTGAGAAACTTACATAGCCCAGTGATATCGCCTCTTTCTAAAGGGAGTGGATGTTTTTGTCAAGAGGTTCCATTTTAACTGGGAAGGCTTTTTTCCCAGGGAAATTAAGAAAAAGCATGAATATTCAATTATTAATCTTAAAATTATAGCAGGTTGATGCCATTTTCTCAAACTGTTAAAGAAGCCCATGACACCACCTCCTCTGAGGTTTTATTTCTCATTTCCTGTGCTTGTCTTGCTTTTAAGGGGCAGGAGCTGATGGGTGCATTAACTGCACAGAGGGCTACTTCATGGAGGATGGGAGATGCGTGCAGAGCTGTAGTATCAGCTATTACTTTGACCACTCTTCAGAGAATGGATACAAATCCTGCAAAAAGTAAGTGGATCTGCCCCCTGGGTCCTAGCATTTAGACCTAAGTTCTTTTGATGACTACCTTCATAAGAAAATAAGAAAACGTAGAATTTGTAATGATAACATGTACCTGTGGACACTGTTGTGAAGCTTTAACCCAGCTTATCTTTGATATTTTTATTCCTTTGCCTCGGGGGCACCTTAATACCTTTACTATTTCAATTTCAAGTACATGCTCGATACCCTTTAAAATCACAGTGTCTACCTGTGTCATCAAACCTAGCAATTTTTGTGAGAAAAGATTTTTGAGTCATCTTCAGAGGGATAATTAAATTTAAGACATTATGAGGTTACTAGTAAACACACCTTCCCCTGTGCATGTGTGAATGGCTTAAAAAATTATACGTTTTTCTCATAGATGTGATACCAGTTGTTTGACGTGCAATGGCCCAGGATTCAAGAACTGTACAAGCTGCCCCAGTGGGTATCTCTTAGACTTAGGAATGTGTCAAATGGGAGCCATTTGCAAGGATGGTGAGTACAACTGCTCACATCGATCTTATGAGCAAAGTATGATCTTTCTACTTTCAGGACTAATATTTTTCCACTTAAAAAAGAAACTCACAGCATGCATCAGATATGACATGCCCAATATTTTGGTGTCATTCATTCATCTTGAACTTCTACCCTTAATGGATTTGTTTGAATTGCAAGAAGAAATAAGTCAGCTATAGTGGCACTGGCCAATATAGCTCAAGTTAATTTTTTAAATTAATAAACTTCATTTTTTGAGAACAGTTTTAGATTCATAAGCAAAATTGAGCAGAAAGTTCAGAAATTTCCCATATACCCCCTTCCCCCAACACAGGCATAGCCTCTCCCACTATCAGCATCAAGCACTAGAGGGGTACATTTGTTACAATTGATAAACCTACAGTGACACATCATTATCACCCAAAGTCCACAGTTTACATTAGGGCTCACTTTTGGTTGTACATTCTGTGGGTTTGGACAAATGTATAACAACATATATGCAACATTATAGTGCCATGCACAGTAGTTTTATTGCCCTGAAACTCCTGTGAATTACCTACTCATCTCTCCTTCCCCCTACTGGTTTTTTTTTCACTGTCTCCATAGACTTGCCTTTTCCAGAATCTATATAATTGGAATTATACAATATGTAGCATTTTCTAGCTAATTGTTGTATTTCTTTCCAGTTTTTACCATAGGTACTTTTCACCAGATTTTTAAAAATACCATGCACATAGAGTTTTGTATGTTACTTTTTGCACTAAGCATTAGGCAGAAACATTATCCTATGTTTTTACAGTTTTAGGAAACTTTATTTTTAATAGCAGCATAAAATTCAATCATGTGAAGATGCTACAGTTTTTAGCCAATCTCCTATTATTTGGATTGTTTATAATTTTGATATATAAAGAGTAATTAAATGGTATCTGAATCTTTCATTAAGCCTGTGAGGCTAGGAAGTAATATCTTCATCTTACAGAAGGGAAAACCCAGGGTGTAGAGCTAGGAAATGATCGACCTAAGTATAGAACTTAATATTTCACAATATTGATCTGTTCTTATTTGCACCAGATTCTGAACCAAGATGCCAGGATGCAGCACCATCCCCAGATATTCTGATTGAATTGATCTAGGGTGCAGCCCATGATCATGGGTTTAACTTCCCAAGTGTTTCTAATCTGCAGCCAGGTTTAAGAACCACTGCACATCCAATTCTCCCTAACAATTTAACTAACACCAAGTTCCCTCACCTCTAGCCTCAGTTTCCCCATCTGTAAAATGAATGAATTTAAAATTACTCCAACTCCAACATTTTGTGAGCTAACTTATGCTGAAGGGACCCTGAAATGTACTCCTAAATTTATGCAGATATAGAAAGATAAAGATACGATGTAGAAAGACATTGCTTAAACTACTGTTGTTCAAAACATCTTCGGATTGTTACAAAAATAGAAAAAGAAAACAAAAAATAAGCAGTTGCAACAATCTGACTGACACGATCCCTGCCCTAGGTTTATTCTTTCCCTTCTTTTGAACGTTTCCCCTTCTGGAAATTTCATGAAAGAAAAAACAGTGCCATTGTCAGGAGAATGTGGACTTGGAAGTCAGAATGCCTTGGGCAGGTTATGAACTGCTCTGGGCCTCATTTCCACCATCTCTAGAAAATGAAGAAGATAATACTACTGACCTCATCTGGTTATTCCACAACTCCCTACAAGGAATCTCAAAAAGGTGTCAGAAAGGACTGGGCACATGATAGCACTGATAGGACATCATTTGTGGTCTTATTTCTTTGGAGCATCGTAGATGACTTTGCATCTCCATGGTTTTTCCAGTATATGATTGGTCTGGGGCAGGGATGGGCCCGACACAGGCCCTGTGTTCCGAGGTTTTCTTGCCAGGGCTGATTCTACTATAGCACACTGAGGTGAGAGAGGCTTGGGGTGGTGGCACCCCAGGGACCATGTAAGTGTCATTTTTTAGTTACCAGCAAGTGCCTCCTTTACTTTACTTAAAAACATGGTTCCCCTATTTCTGAATATGACCGGAATTTTTTGTAATTAGTAACAGAAAATTTGAGGAAGATGAAAGAGATTGGGCCAGGCATGGTGGCTCACGCCTGCAATCCCAGCGCTTTGGGAGGCCAAGGAGGGCAGATCATTTGAGGCCAGGAGTTTGAGACCAGCCTGAGCAAAATGGTGAAACCCCATCTCTACTAAAAATACAAATATTAGCCAAGCGTGGCATGCACCTATAATCCTGGCTTCTCGGGTAGCTGAAGCATGAGAATCACTTGAACCCTGGAGGTTGCAGAGCGCAGAAATCGTGTCCAGCCTAGGCAACAGAGCAAGACTGTCTCAAAAACAAAAAGTGACAGATGCAGGAAATCCATTGTAACTTGAAATGTTCACCAATAGCACTTGGTACCAGGCATTTCAAGAGTTGCAATGCTTTAACTACTTTCCCTAAACCATGGTGAGTACCAGACAAGTTATGTCAAATGGCGCTTTGCTAAAAGCGGAGTGTCAGCATTGTGGACAGAAGTGGGAAATGAAGAATCGTATCTGCAGTGAGCCCATTTTCAGGTCAGTTACAAAATGAGATCATTGATGGCTCACCAGGCTTTTGAAATCACATGGCAGCTGCACGTAAGGATGTGTTATTTATTCTCTTTCAACTGTCGTATTTCTGTGATTCTAAGACATATTTTTTACATTTTATCATCTCGGAAATCAGATGCATCTTATAATTTGTGGCAGTTTACAACCGCTTTTGACCAGAAAACTGATGTGATATCAGTGTTACTGCCCAGATATGAGACTTGGATGCAGAGATATCTGTTCAACAACCGAGTTAGGCACACGACTACTTCTTGTGTTGAATTTAATTGCAGTTCTAAAGAAGTTCGAAAATTAAACTATTGTTCAATATTCAAAGGAAAGATTCTTGCATAAGCATGGAAACAAAACAATGTTACATAAATATAACAAATACTTTTAATAAGTATAAAATTAAAATTCTAACTGATAAGAGAATATTGTGTCACAGTTTAATATGAAGAAGCATCTTTTCCTTTGTGTTACTTAAAATGATGGTGCATCTTAAATCTTGTGTCTTAGATTCAATGAAATATGGTATAAATGACTGTATACTCTCTGCTCTAGGTAACGCAAAGAAGAAAAATTTCTTGCTTGTGTTATTGATTTCTAATTTATTCTTTTTCTAATTTTTTTTTCTTTCACAAATGGATACCAATTACATTGGACTGCAATGTCTCTCCTTGAAAAACAATGCTGTTGACTGAAATCACTTTGGGTGGACCAAATTTCCTCCTGTTGACTACTCCTGAATGATCTCTTCCAATCCCCCAAATCTGCCTCTCTGGCCAATCACAACCTTCTTCCGTGTGTGTCCATCATGCCGCTCTGGTCTTCAACTCCCCTCCTCTCTTGCTGACTTCCGGAAAAGCAACGGAAGAGTCCTGGGCGGAAGGAGGCTTCTGTATGCTTGTGAAAAAGAACAATCTGTGCCAACGGAAGGTTCTTCAACAACTTTGCTGCAAAACATGTACATTTCAAGGCTGAGCAGCCATCTTAGATTTCTTTGTTCCTGTAGACTTATAGATTATTCCATATTATTAAAAAGAAAAAAAAACAAGCCAAAAAAAAAAAAAAAAGCAAGCCACCTCTCTCTTTCTTGCTCTCTTTTTCTTTCTCTCTCTCTCAAGTTTGTGCAGGGAGATGGTGAACTGTTTTGTCAGAACTTAAATGGAAAAAAAAAAATAAACCTACAACAAGCCTACCTTTTATAACTGGGTGTTTAGTGCTAAACAGCCAGAACCACAGAGACAGTATTGTATGACCAAAGCATTTGATGCCAAAATTTGACGTTAAAGTAATGATTTGATTTCCTGCCCTGGTTTTGAAGGTCCATTTTTTTTCCCTTTTGCATTGATTTGCTTGTTTCCCCCTTTGAAACACCTAAAAATACCTTTCCAAAACATTGCAAGAGCATAAATAGACAAAAATGAAATAGAAAGCTCTTGCATGCTTGAGTCCACCATTGGGGGAAATGACAGAAAACTGGACCTGAGGGCATTAGGAACATCCTACAGAGTTGTGTTTTTAGTGTCGTTTGCCATGGTATTTCACAGTGAAACATTGATACTCTCCACACATCATTTACTTCATGCATTATGTACTGGTTTTTGCATTTTACTCACTTGATAAGTCTGCTGCACTGGTTTCATCAGATAGACTTGCTGCTACTGGCTTTTCCATTGTAGATTGGGTTATTTTACACACAGTTCGCCAAATGGGATTGCTCTGTATAGTCAAATTGGTGGACAGATGGGCAGAATGCAGAGGTACATAGATGAGCTGAGGCTGATCCAGCTCCCCTGATATTCAGAGTGTTAACTTTGTAGACCCTGCACAACCTCTTGGTGCTATCTAGCCATTACCCCATTTTTTTTAAAGGCCATCAGAAATTCCATTTGTCATGGTGGGAAGCATTTTGAATATGATGCAGGAAATTTCTTCCTGGAGTCAAAAGTTTCTAAGAGGTCCTGTATTTTTAAGAAATGGAATTTATTTAAATAATATTTAAGCTGGTGCCCATGTTGGCCAGGCAACTTTTTTCAATGGTGCTTATTAGAAGTTTTTTCATCTTGTCATTTTAAGAAAATAAAACTGGAAATTGAATGTGGGTGGCATGATTGTACCCTTCTAGTTCTTATTTTCCCACTCCTCTGTCCCTCTATAACTATGCCATACTATTATATGCTGGTCCACTGAATGTTGAGATGATCTGTTTCTTTGGGTTTTTTTTTTTTAAGAAATATTTTCACTGGTTTTCTATGACTCTCTAAACACTTCATCAAAACTAGAAGACTGAATTATGAGAACACTGTTTGAATTAGTGGCCTGAAACGATGAAATCTTATAGATCTTTTGACAATTTCTCTGTTTAGGGGAGGGTAGACTGATATCAAGTTTCTT